GTATGGATGGAAAACTAATGATCGTACATCCGCCCGGCAACATGGCCGATTCCGCCATCACAACTTACAAGAACAACCTTTCCCTTGCCTCTGTTGCCTTGGCCAACTATAGTCCACGTGGCACTTTCCTCTCATGTCGTGTCTACGAGATTACTAGGAGACCGGAGGAGGTGATTTGGCCTGACAATCCAGTCAAAAACGCAGCGGAAACAGGTCGATTGGACATTGGTACCTCATTTCGCGGAAGTCAAAAGACCATTGACTCGATGCATATGACCCAGTCCAGATCAGCCGTCAAATATCTGCCTGATACAGTTCTAACCACTTTTGTGGCAGACGATGTTCTCACAAGTCTGGTTATGCAATCCACTCTCAGACATGGCGCTCCATCGTCGCAACGTTGCGATCCCTTATGCCTTTATGACGTGGAAGATGTGAGTGAGTTGGCCGTACATGTCTGGCCGAAAGAAGTTGAAATGGGCGCGTTTTTCACCACGTGCCAGGCGCCCAATTGGATGGCCAAATGGGGTGTGTCCGATTGCTCTGCTTTTCTTCACACCTTTCCGTCCAACGGCTTGATGGCGTTCACTTTTCCCGTTTCTCGGCCAGCCGGAGGCTTCGGACTTTTCTGCCAAGTCTTTCTTGACGCGGGTGATCCGTACGCCTACCAGACGTCGGCTCAACCTTCACAACGAGCCGGACACTTGCCGCTAGGCCTCGTCGCTCCCGATTTCGGTTGTCTGGTGATGCTTCGCTATTCTGAACTCGGACAGACGTTGTTTCTACGCGTCTACTCCGCCTCGACAACCGGCTCCTCGGCGTCTTGCCAAGTAACGACCACGCAGATGGTAGACACCGGCTGGCGCCGGGTCATTCTCAAAGAGCCCGGTTCCGATCACGCCTACGTCAGGCCTCGTCTGGTACAGGCGCAACTTCGGCCCGGCCAACAGGAACATCTCTTGGTGGGTCTGGCGAGACCGGCCACAACCGGCCTGGCCCGGCTGGATACGGCCGGCCAGGACATGTTGCTAATCATTGACCTTGGCATTGCTGCCAAGACGAAATCTGGGGCGGAAAGACCCGCGGAACCCTGTCTTCTGCGAGTAGTGCGGCTGGCGTACGGACAGAGGCTGATTTTCCCGCCTTGCGGCAAGAGAGCCATCAACTTTCTACTTCAGGAATATAGACTGGACTTTGAGTCCTTGCATGAGCATAGTCATTTGTTGGAAGCAACTTGCGGCCATGCTGCTGCTCTCGAACTGCCCGTCCAGTCGTCGCTTTCACTGCAGTTGTACAATTTGTTCCCGGTGAACGGAGGCGCCCAACTGGTTGGTCTGGTCCATCATCCAGCCCGGAAACTGGCAGCCGATACGGCCACACGATCTGTCTTAGCTACGAGAGTGAAGTCGATCACAGCGCAACAACTGTCACCGCCTTGTGAGCTTGTCGTCATTTGCACCACACCCGGATTGATGAACATTAGGGGAAGGTATCTGTTCGCAAATGAGCCCGACAGGATACTCAAGGCCAGACGGAACGATTGCACCTTTGTTGTTATGACATCTGGAGAGGCGATCATTTCATTCGATGTTTGTGTGCCCCGGTCGGCCTCGGGATTTGCAAATGCTGAACCAGTTGGTCATCCGGTAGCCGATTCGACCAGCTTGTCCTGATAGATGCATACTTCATAGATGGATTGCTTACTCCAGTTATAAGAGCTGATTACA